AGACTTTTGCTAGCCTGACCTCATAAAGATGTCAAATGTAGGCCAGGCGCTGTGGCTCATGCCTGTAATCCTAGCACTTTGGGAGGCCGAGTTGGGCGGATTGCTCGAGGTCAGGAGTTCGAAACCAGCCAGAGCAAGAGCGAGACCCCATCTCTACTATAAATAGAAAGAAATTAATTGGCCAACTAATATACATAGAAAAAATGAGCCGGGCATGGTGGCGCATGCCTGTAGTCCCAGCTGCTTGTGAGGCTGAGGAAGTAGGATCGCTTGAGCCCAGGAGATTGAGGTTGCTGTGAGCGAGGCTGATGCCACGGCACTCACTCTAGCCTGGGCAACAAAGTGTGACTCTGTCTCAAAAAAAAGATGTCAAATGTAAAATCATCTTATTTACTTAGAGACAGACAGTGCACAGTAATTCAGATACAGAGTAAAGAGTCCATGTCCAGTGAGCAGATGTGGAACTCCTGCAGTTAGTAGGATTATTCAGATAAAAAGCTTCACTTAGGATAAATTAGGCAAGAACTTTTCTTTACCATTTTTGGGGAATCAACAAAAGGAGGGTAATTTTTTTTTTTTAATCATCTGCCTTTGTTTGGGTTATGGAGTGTGTGACATGATCTGCCTTTAAACTAACCATTGCCTTCTAAGTTTGCAAGATTGACTTGGCTGCCAAAATGGATATGATAATGTTGACGTTATCAATTTGTGTGGTGCATGGATATGTCCTAGGAACTGTGAAAGCTGAAAAGGAAACGGTTTCCATGCTTTGAGGAACTTCCAATTTGGTGGTGGGGAATTCTGAGTGCCACAGATATTTTTACCTAATGGTGCCCTTAAACTTTGTGTGTGTGCATAAAGTATCAATTCAATGTTAAGCTAGAATTCTTTGTCTGGGTTTCATTTTTTTCCCCTAATTTAGCCTTGGCAGAAAAAGGGGCAAGGGAAGAATGGACCAGGAAATAAGAATCCAGGAAATGATTTTGAGATTAAAGCAGTGAAGGTTGGGGACTATTAATGTAAGCTTGTGTTACAGTTTAAAAGAGCAGATGAATGAAGACCCGCTTTAAAGACCTGGCACTCGAGACTAATGGTTGTACTACCAGTGGGTTTTGATTATTCCAGTGGGGCCTGTGACCACGAGGTTTCTTTACCTGTCTGGAGCTTTCAGTCCCCTGGATTGTTCCCTTGGCCGTGCTTGGAAAACTTAGCCTGTAATTCTCTCTTATCTAAGTCTTGCCCTTTGTCAAAAGTAGAGCTCACATTCCACAATCATTATTAAATCAATTAAATATTTATTGAGTGCCATAGTGCCAGGTACGTAGCCACATGGTAGAAATACAAGGATGAAAAAAAATCTAGGTCCCCATCCTGGAAGAGCTTATACTAGGAGAAAAGACAGAAGGCCCATAGAAATACACAGGTGCTGTATAATCAGACCCGTGTAGGTGCTGTACAGGAGTTTGCAGATGGTTTCAAGGTGGAACCGAGAAGGGAAGCCCACAGGACTCCTTACTGTGTAAATTTGACATAGTTGACATTTGATGCTTGGTAAATGTTGCCTTATATTGTTAATTATCTTGCTGGGTTTATATGCTGAATTCCAAACTCATTTAAAGTCTCCTTGTGGTCAAGATCTTATCTTTCTTTGCATTCTCTGGAAGTAGTAGGTGCTGAATAAATTTTGTCTTTAGTAACAATATATGCCAACAATAATGTTATAAATTACCAAACTTCAGTATATAGAACCTTGTTTTGAAAGTGGATAGTAGCTCAGCCTTCCCTGGGGGAAGGGGCCTCCCTCTAACATTGCTGTTATTGACAGTCCTCCAGGCTGTACCCTTGGGTTTCTGACTTGAACAGTCTGCTCTTCACCCCAGCACTTTGCAGTTCACCCCAGCTTAGCATGTGTGTGAGCCACATAGCATCAGCCCTGGAAGAGGGCCACTTTGTTTTTCTTTTTTGGGCCTTAGTAGTTTCTACAAAGTCAGGTCTCTTCTCTCCATTTAGGACAATCCTTGTCATTGTCTGATACTGAAAATGATTGGCTTATGGGAAGAAATTAATTTAGTTAGACCGCAAACAGCAAGAATTGAGTTTCTACTGTGTTCCAGGAATTCGTGGGGCTGTGCCTGGCTCTGATGATCTAGACACGAATAGAGTAGTGTCGAGCCCTCAAAAAGCTCATTGTCAGGTTGGACAGGGATGCATATCCGGACCAGTGGTGCTCATGTTTGGTACCTGAACCTGCAGTAGCAGCCTCGAAACTTGTTAGAAATAAACATTGTATGCCTGGGTGCCGCCCATGGGGCAGACCCAGCGGTGGGTGATTTAATGAGCCCACCAGGTGATTCTGATGCACCCTAACCTTTGAGAACCACTGCTATACACAAATGAATCAAGCCCAGTGGAGGGGTAACAGAGGGAGGGACCCTTTCTGCTTTGGGGTATGTGAGGAGTTGTGTTTGTCAGAGAGGTTCTCACACCTGGCGAGGAACATGAGTTGGGTCTTGAAGGATGAATACAAATTTGTCAGGGGCCAAGCGCGGTGGCTCACGCCTGTAATCCTAGCACTCTGGGAGGCCGAGGCGGGCGGATTGCTCGAGGTCAGGAGTTCAAAACCAGCCTGAGCAAGAGCGAGATCCCGTCTCTACTATAAATAGAAAGAAATTAATTGGCCAACTAATGTATAAAAAATCAACTGGGCATGATGGTGCATGCCTGTAGTCCCAGCTACTCAGGAGGCTGAGGCAGGAGGATCGCTTGAGCCCAGCAGTTTGAGGTTGCTGTGAGCTAGGCTGACGCCATGGCACTCACTCTAGCCTGGACAACAAAGCGAGACTCTGTCTCAAAAAAAAAAAAAAGAATTTGTCAGGCAAAGTGGGGAGAGCCTTGCTGGGCAGGAAGAGCAGCACTACACAGGTGTGCAGGTGTGGAATAGTAAGCTTCATTCAAGGAACTGAAAGCCCCCGGAGTGGCTGGGTCAGTGCAGTTGTGTGGACTGCGGGACTTTAGGTCAGAGAGGAAGGCAGGACCCTGGTCAGGTGTTTGCACTTCATCTTGCAGACCAGGGGTCGGCAGACTTTTCCTATAAAGGGCCACACAGCAAATGTTTTTGGCTTTGCTGGGCCATACAGTCTTTGTCCCAACTATTCAATGCTGCCATTGTAGCATGAAAGGAGCCATAGATAATATGTAAACAATTGGGTGTGGCTGAGTTCCCATACAACTTTATTTTCGGACACTGAAATTCGAATTTCATGGTATTTTCACGTGTCTTCTTCTTTTGATTTTTTTTTTTTACCCTTTAAAAATGTAAAATACGTTTGTTGCATGCAGGCCACACAAAAACAGGCAGTGGGATGGATTTGGCCCGAGGGCTGGAGTTTGCCAACCTCTGCTGTGGACCAGATTCCCTCAAACATGGTGCATGGATCATGGTCAGAATCTGGGTGTTTCTGGGATCAGCCCAGACCTACCGAATCTGAATATCAGGGTCCAGGGGCTTCCCTGGGTGATTCTTATGCCAACCAAGGTTTGAGAGCCATTACTGTGGTCAAAGGAAAGGCATTGCAGGGTTGAAGTTGTGAAAGGATTTTCATTTTGTGAAGTGGTGTAGGAATCATCTCAGTGAGGCAGGGGTGGAGGAGGAAGTGGGGTTTTTAGGAGGAGTGCAGGCTTGGCGTGGTCTTTAAGGGGGAGGCAGACAGCACTGACCAGGGTCAGTGTTACGGGTTGCTGAGTATAATCAACCCACTGGAAATTATACATTATTAAAGGCACAAATATATGTCAATATATGCTTTTTCTTTTGCAGCAGTGCCTTTCAGCAGCAAAAGTGAAACAGACAATTGGATGTTTTCAGAGAAGGTTGTTGGGAAGTTAAGAAATATAAGTGTTGTAAGATGCTGACAAGGAGTTGGAAGTGATAAAAAATGAAAAAGGAAACAGCCTGAGATGGGGATACTTGGAGGAGCAGGTGCGGAGGAAGAGAGAGAGCCAGAGGGCTGGGATGTGTGAGTGGAAGGTTTCTAGTGAAGTCTTTCTGGGCCAGGGTGAGAGTCAGGTGTGGACATGAGCGTAGGGGTGGAAGTCAGTTCAGTGTAGTACACTGGGAGCTGGGGTATTTGACGGCTTGTCCTGCTCAGTGTGGAAGCTGCCTATGTAAATTTGGGGATTTGAGGTTGGACAGGGAATGGCCTGGGGGAAAAAATGGCAAAAATATTTTCTGTGTCTTTAAAATAGCCTTCACTCCTTTTTGGGAACAAAAACCTGCACTGCTGCCTCAGGTCAGCGGTTGGGAGGGGCTGAGCAATGTCTTTTGTTCTTTGTGCTACAGGACTGGATGGCTCAGCCAGGACCTGGCAGGGGGAGGTCCTCAGTGGAGGTCATGAGATTGTCTGCAGGTAGATGGGACAGAGATGGAATGATCAAGATCGTCAACTGTGGTTGAGCAGCAGTTGCCTGAAGCTGAGAACCTTTAAAACAGGCGTCCTCAAACTATGGCCCGTGGGCCACATGTGGGTGTTTTTGCCCGTTTGCTTTTTTATTTTAAAATAAGATATGTGCGGTGTGCATAGGGATTTGTTCGTAGTTTTTTTTAAACTATAGTCCAGCCCTCCAGTGATCTGAGGGACAGTGAATTGGCCCCCTGTTTAAAAAGTTTGAGGACCCTTGCTTGATTTTTTTAAATTTTTTATTTTTTGAGACACAGTCTCGCTTTGTTGCCCAGGCTAGAGTGAGTGTCGTGGCATCAGCCTAGCTCACAGCAACCTCAAACTCCTGGGCTCAAGCAATCCTGCTGCCTCAGCCTCCTGAGTAGCTGGGACTATAGGCATGCACCACCATACCTGGCTAATTTATATATATATATATGTTAGTTGGCCAATTAATTTCTTTCTATTTATAGTAGAGACGGGGTCTCGCTCTTGCTTAGGCTGGTTTCGAACTCCTGACTTGGAGCAATCCACCTGCCTCGGCCTCCCAGAGAGCTAGGAGGACCCTTGCTTTAAAAGCTCTGTATTTCCACTTATTAGGAGGACAATGGCATTTCAGATAAGAGTCTCCATCCTCCTCCTTTGCCAGCCAAGTGATAAACTTCTCTTTCTTTCTCCTCAAACCACTTGTTCTCGTTCTTCCGATGCAGCCTGGAGGACAAGTGCCGAGTCTTCAGTAACAAGGTGGGGGAGACCTAAGTACCTAAGATAGGTAGGAACATGGAGGAGTCGCCAACAGTGGGTAGATTCCAACAGCAGGAAGAAGGAGCAGAGGGGTTTGACCTGCCCTGCTTCCGTGCACCCAGCTAGTGGCTCTGCAGTCGGCCTTCATCGGATGTTAGGAGCCTGCGCAGGGTCTGGAGGGAGGAAAGGCTTTGTATCAGGATGGTGGCAGAAAACTGGTCCAGCGCAGCAGTGGGGCAGCTGGAGAAGCCCTGACCTGCTCCTCCCAACTTTGACTTTGCTGTCGTAGTGGCAAAAGGGAAGCAGAGGGCGGGCTTTGACACGGTCAGCAGTGGAGGGAGGAACGCCGTGGGAGGATGAGTCCCAGAGGAGGGGAAGGAGGAGGAGGAGGTCAGGAGCAGCAGGAGGATGCTGCGTGAGAAGTGGAGCTCTCGTGCGGAGCGTGAGAGTTGGGGTGAGTGGGGGGAGGCTAGATAGGGAGGGTGGCCCCCTGGGGTCCCAGAGTCCCGAAGAGGTGGTGTCCAGTGACTGACCCTGAGCTTTGCAGTCCTTCCTGGAGCTGCACATTAACGTGGTGGAATGTTCCTTTGTGTTTTGAGGAGATTGCTGTTGGCAGGTGGAGGCCACCAGAGAGCCTTGAATGTGGATACGTTGGGGGCGAGACTGTGGGGTATAAACCTCAGTTCCGTACAGTTGGAGAGGACAGGGCTGGGGCCGTTGGGGACCGTCCCTCAGAGCCTGTAGGAGGACTCGTAGTCTCCACGAAGGGAGACTCGGGAATTACTAGAAGGTGGGCTGGCCCGACTGGAAAGTGCTGGCTCGTGTCACTGTCTGGTGGCTAGATTTGGCAATAATTGAAGGGAGGACAGAGAGAGCACAGGAGCAACTGTATAATCCCCGGCATTTAAAGCAGAGACCTGGTGTGCCCTGGAGCATTAGCCTTCCTGTTGTGGAACAAGAGGTGGCTGTTCGCGACGTGGCTCGGTTTACCTGTCTAACCTAAGGACACCAATATTCCATGCATCGGATGCTCATGCCCTCAGCATGAGCCAGCTGCTCTGTATAGAAGTTACTCCTCAGATTTCCAGTTAGGAAACAGGCCCCCAGGGCTTATGCCACTTGCCTGTAGCTGGGAAGGGGCACACAGGCTGGACCTGAGCCCACGGCTGTGGCTTGAGGCTGTGCTCCTGGGCATGCCAGCCACCGGTTCCGAGCACTGTACTTTCACCACAGTGGGCTGTTTACTTCCTGTCCCTCAAATACAGTGTGGCTTCCACACCCCCCAGCCTTGCACATTCACTTCCTTCTCCCTGCAGTTTTACTCCTCATCCTGGTCCTCAGTGTGTGTTTCAAGGCCAGGCCCTACGATCACCTCCTCCTGCCTGCTCTCTGTCACCCTGGCCTCCCTCTCCCCCCAGGGCCTAAGGGACCCCTTCTTTTTTTCTTTGTTTCTCTATGGCACCTTGTCCATACTGTACTGCTGTGCTTCGTACCTTACATCTTTTTTTTTTTTTTTTTTTGAGACAAGAGTCTCACTCTGTTGCCCAGGCTAGAGTGAGTGTCATGGCGTCAGCCTAGCTCACACCAACCTCAAACTCCTGGGCTCAAGCAATCCTTCTGCCTCAGCCTCCCGAGTAGCTGGGACTACAGGCATGTACCACCATGCCTGCCTAAGTTTTTCTATATATTTTTAGTTGGCCAATTAATTTGTTTCTATTTTTAGTAGAGATGGGTCTCACTTTTGCTCAGGCTGGTCTCAAACTCCTGACCTTGGGCGATCCTCCCGCCTCAGCCTCCCAGAGTGCTAGGATTACAGGCATGAGCCACCACGATTGGCCCGGACCTTATATCTTAGATTATGTATTGGTCTCTCTGTCCTGCCCGACTCTGAGAGCTTCTTTCCAGAGTTACTCATTGAGCACTGTATGCCAAATATTGAACTAAATGGGGATAAGAGATTAATAAAGATCTGTGCCTTCTAGGAGATGAGCCTGTGAGCACTTGTTAAGCCATGTATTGCTTGTAAACCCTGCACTGCACACTGCTCGCACCATTGCCAAAGTACGTGGGGCCTCTGCACCTCTGGGCCTCTCCTGAGAGGGTATTGGGGGAAGGCTTCCTGGGGGCAGCTGCTTTAGGAGAAGGAGAAGGGGAATTTATATGGAGGAAGGGCTGGGTGCGACAGTTGGAATATTGCAGAGAGAAGAACCTTTTGCACAAAGGCACTGAGACTCCAGGAAAGAGTCACACTCTTTGTGGGGCAGCGACCACTATCAAAGAAGATTTCAACAAATCGAGTTTAAAGATCTTACTGTCTTTTATTAGCGATTCATGAGTCGGGCAGCATCCCATCTATAAAATAGAAAGGCTGAGCTCAGCGGAAGGGGTGGGCTTTATGGGCAGAAAAGGCTGAAGAAGGCAGAAACAAGGAATAAGAAGCCAAGTTACTTATGAGATTAAAAAAGTTGAGACTTCCTTATCATTGCTGGGTTAGGTAGATGGGGCCCTTTTCTGTTGGTTGCTGTAACTCTCCTGTATTTTGGGAAACTGGCCCATTTTTAAAGTTCAGTTTGTTTACGTGGCACCTACCACCAGTGACTCTGGTCTGGTCTGGTCTAGTCTGCTGGGGCCTTGTGCAGAAGCTCAGTCCAAAACAATCACCCCTATTTTATTTAATACCACTGAGGATGAATCTTAATCATCTTTGTATGCTTAAGACAAAGTAGGAACTAAATACATGTTTGTTGAATTGAAATGGAATTTTATTTACATTCTTAGATTGGAATGAATGACTACATTAAAATAAAATTAGGAGCCAGTTCTTTTCTTTTTTTTTTTTTTTTTTTGAGACAGAGTCTCACTTTGTTGCCCAGGCTAGAGTGAGTGCCGTGGCATCAGCCCAGCTCACAGCAACCTCAAACTCCCGGGCTCAAGCGATCCTCCTGCCTCAGCCTCCCAAGGAGCTGGGACGACAGGCATGCGCCACCATGCCCGGCTAATTTTTTCTATATATATCAGTTGGCCAATTAATTTCTTTCTATTTATGGTAGAGGTGGGGTCTCGCTCTTGCTCAGGCTGGTTTCAAACTCCTGAGCTTGAGCAATCCGCCCGCCTCTGCCTCCCAGAGTGCTAGGATTACAGGTGTGAGCCACCTCGCCCGGCCAGGAGCCAGTTCTTTTTACCAACTGACTTAGGTCTGTTTATTACTTGGAACCTGAATTTCAGATTCAATAAGCCTAATTTCTAATTCGAAAGTTAATTCATGGCTCAATTGCTGGGAGTTAAACGTTAATCTTAGTTGTTTAAATATGACATACTCCATTTCCTGTTTTCATTGTGTGGAGTTGATATACTCATCACTTGAAGTTTTAAATGCAAATTTTAATATCATTTTTTAGACCAATTATCTCAAATATGTGTGAACGACATGTAGATATTTCTTTTAGCTGTGTAAAGTCAAGCCATACATACAAAAGATGCCGTATAGCCAAGTACTCTCAAGTATTCCATAGTGTGGGCTCAGAATTACACTTATATAGGAAAATTTCATGAAAAGATTATGTCTAAAGAGATATGATCTGAAAATATCTTTTGTGCTAGTAGCTTATAAAAAGAATTCAGTCTATGCCATTTAGTTACAGTGACTGTGTACTTTTCAGAGTCTTTTCTATTTTAAGTAAGTCAGCCCTTTTAGTAAACAAGATAAAGGGAAAACTTGCTACAGTCTTATTAGTGATAACTTGTAGTGGTTTTGCCAGGAGAGCACAAGGATAGGGAGTAATCAATGGGAAAAGTAAATGCAAGTAGTTTGTACTGGTTAAAAATGTGCTTTATTAAAAGACTGCTATGCCTTTGAGCTTAAGAAACGTGACCAACTGCAACAGGGTGAACTCATTAGCCTATTTGTAATGTGTTTTGTAGTTATCAAAAAAAATGTGCGCTTGATGAATTATTTACCAACTTCGTTATAAAAGTGGAGCTGTGCTTCTGACTTAAAAAAGTTATCAAGTTATCAGTGGTTAATCTTCTTTTATGCATTAGTAATATTGATCTAAGTTGAGGTATGGTTTTGAAAGTCTACAGTAGCCTTAAAGCAGTGGTAAAGTGTTGAATTAAGATTTCTGGGCTGATAGTGCTGGTGATTTCCGGCAAACCATTATATTATTTTATTATAAATATTCCATTCTCAGGTTTATTTACCAAAACAACAACAGAGAGCTCAGGTTCTAGTTGAATTTGGAAAAGAGCAAGGTACATTTGAAAAGTATGTATTCAGATTGTTCTAAACTCTTATTGCAAATAAGGAGTTAAAATTTCAAAATACTGTTTTGTTTTGCTTTTTTCACTTTGTCTCATTCATCGTTTTGTAGCTCTGACTTGAAACAGATGAGTCAGCAGAGGTACACAAAAGGTTGCTAAGGCCCAGAGGAAGTTGCTAAAATCAAAAGTCATTTTGTGAAATTTCATGAAGTGGTTTAACTATGAGTGTCACTGGATTGAGACCTTTGTTTCTAAGCTTCCTCCCTCTCCCCCTGCATTATTTTTTGTTCTTTTTTTATTTATCCCATTTCAAAAAAACTTATTTTTATTGATTTTTTATAATTTTTATTTTATGTAGATACAGTTTTAAAAATCAATTTTCCAAGTAGGTAGTGCTTGATATCACAGTTATAAAACAAGCTGAAAAAAAGATATAATGAAAAGTCAGCCCCCCACCCCAGCTGGCCAGATGCCCCCCTGTCCCCACTCAAAGTGGCAGCTCCAGTCACATCCTTTCAGAGATTGTGTCTGTAGGTGCCCAGAACCTTCTTTTCTGTGTTCTGACACACGTGATAGTGTACAGTCCTTCCACTTCTTTCTTTCTTTTTTTTTTTTTAAACTTAGTATCTCTCTTTTTTTTTTTTTTTTTGAGACAGAGTCTCACTTTGTTGCCCAGGCTAGAGTGAGTGCCGTGGCATCAGCCTGGCTCACAGCAACCTCAAACTCCTGGGCTCAGGCGATCCTCCTGCCTCAGCCTCCCGAGTAGCTGGGACTACAGGCATGCACCACCATGCCTGGCTAATTTTTTGTATATATATTTTTAGTTGTCCAATTAATTTCTTTGTATTTTTAGTAGAGACGGGGTCTTGCTCAGGCTGGTTTTGAACTCCTGACCTTGAGCAATCCGCCCGCCTCGGCCTCCTAGAGTGCTAGGATTACAGGGGTGAGCCACTGCGCCCGGCCAAACTTAGTGTCTCTTAGGGGTTGATTCATATCTGCATAAACAGAGCTCTAGTGACTTTTGACTTCCTTTCTGCCTTTTCTGAAAGCTCTGTTCCTGTTCCTCCAGGAATGGCTTCGTCCTTGAGCAAACGCTGGCAGTGCTGGTGGTGGGGGGGGGCGAGTGGGTTTCTGTCCTCTGCTCCCGTTCTCCAGGAGTGCCCCTCACCGTGGGACCTACGTGCAGAGGAGGCA